ATCATTTCTGTCTCTGGATCAGGGTGTTGAGATTCAGACTGATGAAGCTATCTGTCAAAGGTTAGAGCTTGGCTAGGACAGTGATACAAGCCAGCTGACTCTACCCAACGTCCTTTACCCAAGGACACACTTTCAGAGAGGCGGACAGACATAAAGATTGGAGGTGGCTAGGAGGCAGTCAGCATAGCTGGTCATTGATATCCTCTCTGTCAGTGCCTTAGTCACCCTTCTTGCCTACTGGACCCCATCATGGCCGCCTCACCATATCCCCTTCATTACACATAGCAGCTATACGTCCTTCACGATGCTATGCTGTGCCTGCTGTCACAGCCAAAGTCAGTGATGCAGCCATCTGTCCTTCTTCCTGTCCCATCTACTCATGTATAGGGTCTGTTCATTCTGGACTTCAGTGTTTCTATTGCTGTGAAGAAAAACCCGTACTCGTTACAAATGGTTACACACCATGGCCATGGCAACTCTAATAAAGGAAAACATTTAACTGGGGCTGGCTTACAGTTCAGAGGTTCAGTCCATTATCATTATGGCAGGAAGAATGGTGGCATGCAGGCAGACGTAATGGAGATGCAGCTGAGAGCTCTACATCTGGATCCACAGATAGTAGCAAGAGAGCCAGCGACTGAGCCTGGTTTGGGATTCTGAAACTTCAAAGCTCACTCCCAGTGACATATTTCCTACTCCAATAGGGCCACACCTTCTAATAGTGCTGCTTCTTATAAGCCTATGGAGGGCATTTTCATCCAGAGTACCAAAACTTCCCTCCAAGCTTCATTCTCTTTCTGCAATGCCAAGAGAAAAAAAAAAATTGACCAGAAGAAGCCAGAGAGGAAACAGGGTTTACTACTGAGAGCTCTAGGACTTTAGATGGTCAGTGGGAAGCCAAACCATAGTCCTTCCTGCTTCTGACTCACTGGAATATAGACAAAGCCTCTGTATCAAAGTATGTCACGCTCACTTTGCTATTCCTTTATTTCTTAATCTGTATGTAGGTAGCACAGGTTTGCTTAGTGTGCCAGGAACATTCATTAAGCTGTGTTCTTATTGAGGCTCTGCACTCCTTTATATGTAAAGTGGAAATTAATATATTTTTGGGGGGGGGCAGGGTTTCTCTGTGCAACAGGTTTGGCTGCCCTGGAACTAGCTCTGTAGACCAGGCTGGCCTCCAACTCACAGAGATCTGTCTGCTAGTATGAAAGGCTATACCTCCACAGCCTGTCGAAATCAATCATTTTAAGAGAGAGGCTTAGAAGACATTTGAATAAATATTATGATGACTCACTCTGAGATAAAGTAATAAAAAATTCAAGACACAGGAAACTGATAAATGAGGGGACAAGTAACCGCTATTCCAAGTCCTTCTTACTCAGTGAAGGTAGTAATGGAATTTCTTAGCTTCACTGGTATACTTAACATGATTTTATTGAGACATGAAGTTTCTAGGGTTATTGCTAAAGAGGGGCTCACTTGAATTTTGAAGACTGTTTTATCTGTTTTCCCACCCTCAGCTTCTTTCAGCATAAACCAGGGGGTTATTCTGAATGAAGACAAGAAAGCAAGGGCTTAAAGCATTTTGACAGGCTGTGCAGCAGCAGAGGCTTGAATCTGGCAAGGAGGCACCAAGTGTATTGGAGGGACAGTTTAAGTATCTGGGTGTGTGTCCACTGAGCAGGACCTGGCTACTTCCTCAGCCTCCTGCCAGCTTCAGGGTGCCACCGTTTTATGAGGTAGAAAGAAAACAGTGTATTAAAAAATCAAACTGAAACAAAAATATCTAAAGAGTTTAGAAAGGCTCCAGGAATTTTAAAAAGTGAGGAGAAAATGTACACATGTGTGAATATAGTAAGTTTCTTTTCTGGATCCTGGTTCTCCCCATCACAGGATTACTTAAGTTGATCAGGAAGTTAACAAAATGTCACATAAGTGAAAGCCAGATCAAACTTTAGGTTCCGAAGTCTACTTGTGGTATAAAAGCAGAAGGGACTAACAGGGAAGAGAAGGGACCAGCTGGAGGGGGAAGGGGCCTGGTGGAACCCTGAGAGGGTGGTGAACAAAATATATGACAAACTTGCACGTATGAGATGCCATAGTGAAAACCACTTATTTGTATGCTAGCTTAAACATAATAGCATCAATGTCCACCTCTGATGACAGTATCCATGTCAAAGGCCAAGGTAATAATTTACTTAAGTGTTACTGAGATGAGAACTTTGGAGAAGGTCAGTTATTTGCTCAAGGCTTGAAACCTAATTCTCAGAAGAAGACAAAAGCAATTATCTTTGTGGCTTTGGGATAGGTGGAGATTTCTTACACAGGGCACAAAACACTAAGCCTTAAAATAAGCAAAGATTGATAAATTGGGCTGATTAAAAATTAAGAAATTATTTTAATCATAAAATAACATTAAACTATAGGTCAGCCACGGGTTGAGAGAAGATATTTGGAACAGACATGACAAAAGACTTATATCAAGAATATGTAAAGGACTTCTAGAGTCCAAACTAGCAAAAGACATGAACAGATACATCCTCAAAGACCATCAAAAGAGATAAGCTTCTGAAAAGTTGCTCAATTGAATTGATCACCAGAGAAATAATGTTTAATTACAATGAAACACATATCTCTGCTTTTAATTTAATGAGGAAACACTTAGGCCAGGGAGATGGCTCAGAGGGTAAGGCGGCTTGTGGCCAAGCCCCACTGAGAACCTGAATTCAACCCCCGGATCGCACACAGTGGGAGGAGAGAACCAACTCCAAGTGTTGCCTATGACCTCCACATACCTACTGTGGTATGCATAACCCCCTCCAACAAGAAAATGTAATTAAAATATTTTAAACACCTTGATACCAAAAATGAGAATCATGTAGGATCACCAGGGATCTTATAGCACCAGTTGAAACATAAACAGTTTTGCCCCCTTTTGTTTTAAAAATGTATCTTTTTGTTTTGTTTTGTTTTATGGCTTAAATTTTTGTTTTTAATTTTTCCCTTGGTTGTTATTTTTCTTACTCAGATCACTGGCAATATATTTAAAGCTCAACATGCGTATACTCTATAAACCAGACGCCCCAACCCCTAGCATGAGTGTGACATGAATGTTGTGTCTACACACAGAAGAATGTTTCCAGACTGTCAAAAACCCAAAGCAACTGAAATGTCTACTGAACAATAATTTGAGTCTATAAATTGTTGGTTATAGAATGAATATGCAGTAGTGAAGAATGAGCCACCATTATATACAACAGAGAAACCTTATAGACAGAAAAATTCTCACCCTCTATTTCAAGTTCATGTCAAGTTCAAATAGCATAAGAACTGAACCCTCTGAGATACTGAGTGGCAGAAACCATGGCTAAGCTGGACTGGGTGACAGCCCTGTGGACACTCACACCCATCATTCAGCACACAATAATAGACGCTGCGGGACCAGACAGCGCTCACACCATCAACAACAAAACTGACCACACACCCTGAATTTGTGTTCAAGAACAGGGTCACCCAATCTCTGTAAGTTCTCATACTGGTGTCTTATACTGTTACAATTTCTGCTCCCCCACCAGAGAAAGCCTGTGCTTGAGAACTCATGCTAGGCAGCGGTGGTGAGAGAGCAGAGAACACTGACTCAGGAAGTCACCTTGCCCCCCATACCCAGTAGAGGGGTCAAAGGGAACTCAACAAGTGTTTATTAACGACTGTTTTTCTGACTTACATAGCACCTGACATGCACTTTATTTCAAGCAGTACATGATCAATAACTATTTTCCTAATTTTGTTTGTTTGTTTTTCAAGACAAAGTTTCTCTGTGTAACAGCCCTGGCTGTCCTGGAACGCGCTCTGTAGACCAAGCTGGCCTCGAACTCACAGAGATCTGCCAGCCTCTGCCTCCTGTGTGCTGGGGTTAAAGTGTGCACCACCACCACCTGGCCTTTTTTCTTTTTTTCTAATACTGGACTCCCATCCTTATTCCTATCCTACAGACGGGAAATAGAGGTTATGGAGGATAGGTTAAACTAGTCAGGAAGGCTGAGCGTGGTAGGCCATGACCATAATCCCAGCCATTGGAAGCTGCACACAGGAGGATCAGTTAAAGGTCAGCCAAGGCTACTTAGAGGCCTGTCTGGGTTCAGGAGACACTGTCTCAAAAATCCAAAACCAAAATAAAACAAAACAAAACAAAAACAAAAACAAAAAAAAAAAAAAAAAAAAAAACCCAGCTTCTCTCAAGGCCTTCCAGATAGTTAAGTGGTGAAGAAGATTCCCACTCATTAGCCTTAATTCTGAAGCAGAGCCATCAACCACGGGCAGGGAAATTAAGGGCAGTGTCGGGGGTCCCAGGAGGCCAAGCGGGTGATAACAGGTCACAAAGCCCTTTGCCATTCTGAGGGCCTAGCTGCTGTGCTTTAGGCTTTTGTGATGGGTTCCCGGGGCCACTAACTAACTGCACACAGGTGGTCCCGCGGCCAGAAAATCAGCTGCTTCCTTTCCTCCAGGACCACGATCTCACCTCCAGCCAATTTGCTCGAGGAATAAGATTTCCAGGGCCCACCTAAAAGTTTTCTGACTTCACAAACATCGCGCGAGACAGGCGTGGGCTTCCACTCCCGGCTCCCGGAATCAGGGAGCCACTGGTGCGAAGAGCGCCCAAAACTCAGAAAGAAAACGCACCCACCAGGGAGCAAGAAGGGTGGAGGTGAGAACTGTCGGCGCAAGGGAAGGCAAAGACCTGGAGCCGCAGAGAGGAGCCGAGCGGACAGAGAGAAAAGTGTCCCCTCAACTCCTAAATTGGTGGCGACACAGCCCCCTCTCTATTGCGCCTGCGCAACGCTGTCGGGGGGCCACCCCGCCCCTTCGCGCCTCCGGAGGTTTACTTGTCTCTCGGCAACCATTGACCCGGGGAGCCAATCAGAGGGCAGCGTTCGCCCGGGCCCCCGCCGTTAGCGCCGGGCGCAAGGATCCCGCGGGGCCGCGGCCGGCGCGCCCCGCCCTGGCTCCCCCGGGAGGCCGGCCGCGGGGCGGGGGCAGGGGCGGGGAGGCGCGGGGGAGTGGTCAGGCCGGTTAAGATCGGAGGGGGCGGCGGCGGGACCGCTCACTCGCGGCAGCTGCCTGGGGGCCATAGTCACCGCGCCGCTCCTGCTGGGGGCTGCCCACGCCAACCACCTGCCTCTGTCGCCTCCTCTTCCAGCGCCCAGGTGAGTCTGTGCTCCCCTCCTCCGCAGGTGTGAGGATGGTGCTGCGGTCTGGCGGGGAGCCACGCTCTCACGTTCCGGGGTTCGTCCCAGCAGAGCCTGGTGGGATGCCCCGGAGATGGAGGGGAGGTACGGGCAGGTGTCAGGACCCCCATGGCTCCTGCGCCTGTGGCTCAGGCTACCTCCGGAAAAAGAGCGCAAACTTTTCGGTGACTGTGGACCGGGTTTGGCAAACTTGGGCGAGCTCCTGCTGGCCTGGCGACGGGAGAGTGGGTGGTGACCACTTCTTGCTCTTTCATTGACCCTACTAGTAGGTTCGCCGACTCTGCGCTGCGCCCCTGCGGTGCGCACAGAGTAGTCGGAACCGGGGCGATTTTGAACCCCGCGGTTTCGGCCGCGTAGATGGAGACGCTGCGGTCCGGGGCTACAGCCTGGCAGGAGAGGGGAGGGCAGCTTCCTGGGCTCAGTGCCCAGGATGGCGGCAGAGATCATTCTCTTTTCTGGGACTGTGGCTATTGCGCGAGGCCAAGAAGCTGCGTTGCGCGTCTCTCCCGAAACTTCTCGAGAATACGGCGACTGAGAAACCTGGTTCCTCCTCTTTGGGGATCGAAAGCTGCCTGCCTCGTGGGCTGAAAGCCATGCAGTTAGTTGACTCTGATAGCGGTGCTGTTGGTGACTTAGAGGCGCTCCTGACCCAGAGCGAGCGTTGCGGTCAGAGTACTCCTTTAGCACTGTTCGCGAAAAGGGTTGGGAGGGACATCTGAGGAAGTTGAGGAAGCTGCATTGCCAGCTGGTAGCCCTTACACCCAAGTTCTGATACTCAGAGAGTGGGTGGGCGACCTCAAAGTCAATGGGGGGCTTGTGAGGAAATGCCTATTTGTTTTTTCCAGAACATAGAAATTTCCACCTGAGCCGCTTGTCAGACCTGGGTAGTTTCAGCCCCTTTTCTCCCCCCTCCCCCTTTAATGTGCAGGAACCTCTCTGCAGGGCCTTGACTGATTCCTAGTCTTAAACCCTTTCCCCTTCCATTTGAGGATAAAGTACTTACAACGAAAGACTTAATAGACTTAACAGATTTGCAAAGAACAGCTATGTATGTAACCGTTTGAATTGTGACGAGTTTGGTATTCTGGAAGTAAAAGTCAAGATGGTTAGCTCTTCCTAAATTAGGCTTCCAGCTGCCCCCTCTACCCCAGGAAGGAGAGTGAGGTGTCCATTGCTGGCTACAACTTCCTGTGAAATTTGCTTGGCAAGGCAGTGAGTGAACCAGAAAGCTTGCCAGGCAGCCAAAAGGGTGGTAGGAAAGCTTACCAAGAATTCTACCGTGCTGGAAGTCTCCAGAGGTGTGATTTCCTCCCACTTGCCCTCCCCCCCCCCCATTTTACCCTGCAGTTGAAGCTTGTGGGGTGGGGACTAAGGAAGGTTGAATTTCCTCTCCCAGCTGGACCAACAGTGGTTCTACCATTTGCATTCTTGTTTGTGAAGATGGAGTTCTTCATATCCCTGAACAGGTAGCCGAAACTTTGACACTTTGACTCTGAGGGAACAACTTGGTTTTGGAGTACACAGATGTGAGTTCAGAGCTTTTAGAAGATTTTGATGTTTGGAATAATTGTCCCTGTCCCACAGGATGTCCCTTACATTAAAATTGTGGAGGTGGGGGTGCTCAGCTTTCTCTAGAACGTTACAAAAAGAGAGGTTTCTACTTTTGTGAGTAACTTTAGTGTGTGCCCCTAGAGCAAACAGTCACACTCTTTAGTGTGAGTTTCTCCCATACCTACCTTGTATCTAGAGATTCGGTTTGTGAACTCTGGAAGGAAGGGCTTGGCTCTTGGCTGCCTGCTGGTCAGAGTGAGGGTAGAGTGTTTAGGGCTCACTCTTCAGCTCGACTGCCAGTATAGTTACCAAGCTTTCAGCCTGACTTGCAGCCTCCCCCATCCCCCACCCATCTCCCTGCATCTTCCAGTGTTCAAGGCCAGGCAGCTTATATGCTCAGTGCACTGCCCACCTGACAGTCTAGCCACAGCTTAGCCATGAAAGTGATTTAAAATTGGGCTGCCATGTGTTTATCGAGTCTCAGCTGTTACAGAATTGGAAAACTGCATTGAATGCTTCCTTACTTCCTTTCCAGCTCCATCCACTAAGTAGTACCTTTGTCTTCATCTTTCTTTGCTATGCCACCCTAGAGTCAGCCAATGAAGAAGGGCAATATGTTAGGTCATTTTTTTGCCTGTATTACTGAGAACAGCTGTAAAAGCCTGAGGTGTGTTGTTGTTTGGGAGTTTCTTATCTTCCTGTCCCTGAACACCTCTCTGTCTCTCTCTCTGTCTCTCTCTGTCTCTCTCTCTCTCTCTCTCTCTCTCTCTCTCTCTCTCTCTCTCTCTCTGTTTCCTGGACTAAGACTGGTCTGTTGTGAGCTCTCTCATTATTGAAGAAACTGGGGAAATATGGAAAGCTGCCCTCCACCATCTTGGTGTTTTGACTGTAGCTAATGAGATTGTATTATGATGACGCCAACTCCTCCATATTTAAAGAAGTGCCCATGAGTTTAAAGCTACTTAAGATGACTGGAAAGCTGACTTCTTAATCTCCTGGACCTAAGGTTTCTCCTACTTTTTAACCTTTTGATCAGATGCATTCCTTGTAAGGGAGCTTTTATTTAGAATTTAAATGGTCGTAGAGGGCAACATCTTTACATAAGCCAACTTCCTAAGGGGGACCTTATGAACTGTTTCAAATTAGTATTCTGTACAGCTGGCCCTTGTAGCTTGCTCTTGAAGTGTTTGCAGAACTTTTGGAACAACAGAAAAAAAAAAACTTAATGTGAAGAAATAATTACTGACATGAAGCAGCTCTGTGTGCAAGGAAGCTTTATAGTTTCAGAGCATTTTCCACTGTGGCTCATTCAACTTCGAGGAGGTGTTTATTTCTTGGCTAAAGAGCAGCCGGTTGAATCAGAAAGTGCTTCCTAGGTGGTGTTTGGTGCCAGGTGCTGGGGAGACCTAGGGAATGGTATGTGAAAGGCCCGTGGAAGAGCTTTGGAGGTGAGGACAACTAGGCTGCCTTTATGATGTACTTTAAGAAATTTTTTTTCTCAGTTGTCTCGGCCCCCTCCTTGAACATGGACCCCAGAAAAGTAGAATTTGTGGTCCCTATAGAGTCCTGATCCTGCCTAGAGGGAGAGTGAATGCATGGCCTTGGATGCAGACTTGTTCCTCTTAAGCAAATGCACCTTCTGCTAAGGGCTGCCTGTTGTTACTGTCAGAGGAGGAAGCATGCTTAGAGTGGGCGTTCTTTTGCTGGGTCAAGGTACCTGATGGGAGCTTTTTGCATCAGAAACTCCTGGTCTAAAAGGCTGAATGGTTTCTGGGTGTCTTTTCAGGGAAGCCTCAGCAGTGTAGGTTTGGAGCCCAGGAGTAAAGAGTGCAAATAGATAAGCAGCTGAAACTTGTAAGCCTGGCTAGCCTCTAGCCCCACCCCCTGAGCTCTTCCACCCTCCTGCCTGCCGGTCCTCCCAGCCATTCTCCCAGCCCCAGTTAGCTCACTCAGCCTTTCTCTCTCCCGGTTCACTCAGCTGCTGGCTCTGCTGACTCGTTCTTTTTCTATTTTTTTGTTTCCCACTGTCATTACTGACCTGGTTTAGGGGACTGTAGGCAGGAGCTGGATAAGCATTGCAGCAGCCTTCCTGTCCCTGGCCAGTGCTCAGTCCTCTGCCTGGAGCACTAGAGTAAGTTCCCAGGATCTGCCCATCCCTGAGATCTCGCTGCATTCCTCTAAGATGCTATTTCCTGATGCTTTTCTGGCTGCTCCACGGGCAGGATGTCCCTAACTGTCCTACCCTGCCTTACAAAATGCTGACTTAAATATTTGTGGGAAAAATTGAGCACAGCCCCTTCCCCCCATTGAACTTTATTTTATGTCTTTGGGACCTCTGTTCAGGCCCTGACAGAACTTCTCTCATCTGAGGGCCGTCTTATACCACATCGCTCTGCTCCAGTATGCTATAGTTTTCTTTTGCATATTTTCTTGTATTAAAATTTTTAATATGGAACTAACAGCCCCCTGTTTTAAGAAGTCCCCTATTGTCTCCATAGCTGGCCTCTGTTAAAAAAAGAAAAAGAGTGAAAAAATTATGTAGGGATCATGAGCCACCAGCCCCTTATCTCATCTGGCCTCCCTTAACTTCTTTCCACACTTGGCCTTACAGATGAGTCACCTGGCCTGGCTGCCCACCCCTGCCCCTTCCTCTCCACACACTGTGATGATCCTTGTCATAGAGCTGGGCGTCAGGATTCTGTAGCTGCCTGAGGCTATAGCACTATGGTGTGGAGTATGGGGATATAGACAAAAGAGTAGGGTCAAGACATGGGGGTGTTTGCTCTGGATTGCTCAGCACCGATGCTGCTACATCCCATTCCAGACTGTTGTAGACTTTATGCCTACTTCCTTGCCTTGTAGACTGCCTTTCATGGGGGGGGGCACTGATCCTGGCAGACTCTTTACTACTTCAGGCCTTCATTTCTTCATTGTCATCCACAGCAGATTGAATCATTGCTGTCCCATAGACATATGGGAACAAAAGCCTGGGAAATTTCATTTAAACAACAACAACAAAAAAATCTATTTATCTATTTAACTTAGTATGCCAAGTAATCAGTGCAAAAACACGAAACAGAGACATTTTATATCCCTCCTTAATACAAGTCCCTAAAGTCTATTATGTATTCTGTATACACTATGCACTCTGTTTGGACATTCTACCTTTCAAGTGCTCAAGAGCTACACAGCTTGTAGCAACTGTATCAGGTAGTGTATGTCTAGACCTTGTGCAAAAACGTTTGACTCAAATCCTGATTTTATGTATGTGAGAAGCAATAGTGAATTCACCAAAGTCACTGAAGAGTGTGTACAGGACACAAGCTCTGTGCAGCTAGACATCTCTGTCACCTCCCTTCTGATAGAGTCCCAGGAGAGTACTTCCAACCCAGGAGGTACTTGGGTAT